TGTATTCGCATACTTGCGTGACACTTCTGTGCATGCGCAGAAGCATCCAGGTGGGTGGACGGAGCCTCCCGCAACCACCACTACCGGTTCGCCTGATCAGGGACGAACTGGGAGCAACCCACCTCTGCTTCTGATATACAGTTTTGCTCAGTTAAAGGTTGCAGGAAGGAGAGCTTTAGTAGTATATTGATATATTAATTGTATTTAACATTAGAAAAAGAATGGAGTCAATTATATTAGGACTGTGTAGCCTTTTGGATTTGATGTAGAAAAAGCACTTTGGATCACCATTGTGCCTATCTGCAACCACCTGGGTCCAATTATCTTCTGTATCTGCGTAGTTGCTGTCGGCGCTTATCTGCTCGCCTTTGCCTGGCGTCCGGGACAAACTCCCTTAGCTCCTCCCCACTGCTACAGGGCCTGACGTCAGGGACCAACTCCGCTACTCCATGCCTCAGGTGCCTCCTGGTGGCCAACCAGTCTCTCTGGTCCCTGCTTGGAGTCTGAACCCTGTCCGGCGTCCTCCACATCTTCCAGAGCCGACTCATAGGGTCCCTTGCTGTCAGAATCTGTTTGCAGCTCCAATGGCTCCTGCTGGGCCACAACAGGCAGGTGTCTGCCTTTCCAAATCATGTCCAATCAATTTAATTTACCACATCAAGGTGTGTTAGCAAAGATCAATAAAAATGGGGGTGGGGCGGGGGGGGTGAGCTAAATTTAAAGTGTTGTTGCAAAGGTTCTGAATATTTATGCCAATTTATTGTTAATAAATTTACAGACATTTCTAGACTCCCCGCCCCACTTTATTATTATGGGGTACTGAGTGTAGATTAATGAGGGGAAAAAAAGAATTTCAACACCTGTAGAATCAGGCTGCAGCATAACAAAAGGTCAAAAGTGAAGGGGGTCTGAATACTTTCTGAATGCACTTGTATATAAAATAAAGGGAAGGCACACGATCCGTTCATTGAAAGGCAGAACGAATGCATTGCCAAATTGGTTTATAAAGCAGGTTTGCCCATTCTTAGTTACAAAAGAAGAATGAGTATTCTGAAAAAATGGAAGACGCTTCATTAGAAGCCAAACAGTCCAGACATAGAAAAATAATTGGCTACATTTGCTCTCAATCTCATTGTAGGTGAGATGGGAATCGGACAGAAAATGATTCTGTTGCCTGAACGTATCTCATGGGATCAGATAAGGAAAAAGTAGACACGAGGTAGAAAAATGAAGACTAGTGAAAAAGATTTTTAAATAAGATTGTCTGGTTAAGTGGTTTAGCCTAAAATGGCCTGAAAGTGGCTCTTATATTTTAAAGGTGCTAAAATCTTTTCTCTCCAACAGGGCAATGTTGGTTCTCCTGGAAAAACTGGCCTGATGGGAAATTCGGGCAAACCTGTAAGATAGTTTCTTTCTCAAGTTTTACCCCTTTTTTTTGTTTTTGAACCAGAAGATTTGCCTTTTTTGAAGTATCAATCTTTACATATATACAGTGTGTTGTTCTTACAATCCCGCCAACAGGGAGAACCAGGATTGCAAGGAGAACCAGGATCGCTGGGACCCAAAGGCCCATCAGTAAGTTTATTTGCTCGGTTTCTGGTTTAGATTGAGGCTCTGGATTTTTCTGATCCAGGTTGTAAAAAAAAAAATCACCGTCTGATGAGAAGTAATTTATAAACTGGGAGAGTTGTAGAAGTGGTGCATTTAACGTCCCTTTATTTTCTCTGTCTTGCTCTGTTTTTCTCATTTTCGCTCTCGTCAAAATGCAGTAAAACATAGATTTATATTCAATAAATTGAAACTCAGAACTTGACTCCCAATATTCTAAGACAGTTCTCAGGAGCTATGAGTTCTTCAAAAGTTATACATTTAAGAAAAGAAGGGAATTATGAAATATATGTTTGGATAGTAACTATATTAATGATGTTTAATTTTAATTAAATGCAAATGGAATCCAATCCATTATTGTTTTTATTCTGGCCCTGTTTTGTTTTGTTTTTTAACTTTTCAGCGCATAGCTTCCAGTTTGCAGTTCTCTGACAGGAAATATTTACACATTGCATAGATAAATCTAATTCCTTTCATTTATATTTGTAATATACATGAAAAGCCAGTGGAATTTCAAATAATCATTGTAGGAGGGCAGCCATGTTAGTTTATTGTAACCCCAAATTAAAATGACTTTGATAACCTCTTCAGATTAACGTTACATTAAAAGACATGAGATTTTGTGAGCTACAGCTCATATTATTGCTATATCGAATGAAGTGATCATTGAAAGTCTTTTAATATTTAATGGTAGAAAAAAGTGCTATTGGACTCTCTCTGCTTTTTTGCATAATAGTGGCTCCCCAAAAGTAGCTTGGAAAAAAATTCAAATGCCATGATGTATGCACACCTACAAAGATCAAACCATGGTATTCTCTGGGATAATCCATGAAAGTGGAAGTTGGACTTGAAAGAAGCAGGATAGGAAGAGTATCTATGCCTTTGAACTTTGGTGTTGGAGAAGACTCCCGACAATACCATGGACAACCAAAAATATAGAGCAATGTCTCATTGAACAGATAAGCCCAGAGTTCTCATTCAAAGCATAAATAACCAGGCTAAAATTATTTGACCATGGACACATTATGAAATCTAGCTCTCTGGAAAGGGATGTAATACTGAGAAAGTGGAAGGAAAGAGAAGAAGAGGATGACCAGTCACAAGATGGATGGATTCAGTTACAGGCAACGAGTGTACCAGGGAACTGATGGGAAACTTGAAGGAACAGGTTAGGGATAGATCTTCTTGAAGAAAGCCTACCTGTATTGTCACTTGGAGAGGGGTGGGTTGCTGCTGGTTTTACTACCGGTTCGCTACCTGGGCACAAAGTGCGTGCACGAGATGGGAATCGGGAGTAACCCACCCCCAACATTGGTGTTGAAAATGACTTGGCTTTTCACATAAACAATCCATCAATCAAAAGTAGCTTCCTTTCAAAACATTTTCCTATGTAGTCCATCATGATTCTTGCAGGAACAGATTTTCTGGGCCTTCCTTCTCAAGAAACTGCCAAATAGACAGTTATGAATTTTTATTTTTATTTTGGAAATGTCATTCCTCAAGCAGAGGATCATTTCAGATATGATAGCAGAATCCTGCGTTACTTTCACCAAATCGCATGCCTTTTCAGCAATTAGTCTTGTACAAATTTCTCAAGAGACGAGTGCGACTTTACATATACTGTATGTGTGTGTGTATCTATCTATCTATCTATCTATCTATCTATCTATCTATCTATCTATCTATCTATCTATCTATCATCTATCTATCCCTGTGCATTGCTATTAAATGATTTCTTGGAAGAGTTGCAATATGAAGGCTTTTAAAAAAGCATGTATGCATTTATTAGCTAAAAACCGAGTGGCTGTTGTGTTTCCCTCCCAATAATTTGGCTAGTGTTCCATCCCTCAGGCTGGGGAGCCAATCTTTATACCCCTCAGACAAGGTTCGCAACTTGGGAGTCCTCCTGGACCCACAGCTGA